TCAAATATTTTAAAAAGTAATCAGTGTTTTAGAAAGAGAAATATATTCTCCCGATGTTTTATTTCAACACATTTTGTGTTATTGTTGGCCGTTTAATTACAAACGACGCTTGATTTTCAACTTGAAATTTTTTTTTGTTAAAATTATAGACTTTACTGGTGTTTTTTATTTCCTAAGCCAATTAATTTTTAATATTTTTTCATGTTTTATTATTATCTGACTATTCAGCTTTAATAAAAGAACAGGTGCTGATTCTCAGTGTGCAAAAAACTAACTTAAGCCAAAGTCATCAATCCGCCATTTTGGGGCAGTACGTTCACTTTTTTTTGTGGAAACATTAGATTTTTTTTAATAAATAGTTACAGGGAACACAACGATGTGAACGATAGGAGGGTCTGGCCCACAGACTAAAAGATTGACCAGCCAGAAGAACCTAGCTGATAGAACAATGTTACAGTGAAGGCATACAAGAACATCAGTGGAAAAATACAGATCCAAAAGAAGGGAAGAGAAACGCACCCATCAGAGGAAAAAAAGGGAATGGCTTCAACAAATAGAAGACTTCCGAAACAATAAGGAGGTTAGAAATATCTTTCTAGAAATAAACAGCAGCCGACAGACATTCAAACCTAGAATAAATGCCTGTAGAGAGTAATGAGGATAACCTGATCACAAATAGGATACAAGTTCTAGAACAGTGGCGGAATTACTTCGATCTTCTCCTTAATGACATGGCAGAAGAAGGAAGAGAAGAAATGGAGATGGCCATAGGAGAATTGGAGCCCCCTGATATGGAAAATGTCTATGAAGCGGTAGAAGAACTAAAAAAATAATAAAGCACCAGGACCAGATGGGCTCCCTGCAGAACTGTTTAAAGTATGGAGGAAAAGAATCAGTGAAGTTCCTCTATAATATAATAATGGATGTTTGAAAGATGGAATAAATCGTTTGTGAATGGTATAAAGCAGTTATATGTCCAATTTACAAGAAGGGGGATGTGCTTGTTGTTATAGTTATTGTGGCATATCCCTCTTATCATGTGCTTATAAGGTGTTCTCTCGAATACTTAATAAAAAACTGCTTCCTTTTGCCGAGCAGAATATAGGAAAGTACCAGACAGGCTTTATGAGAGGAAAATCTACCATAGATCAGATATTCTCCATCAGAATCGTTCTGGAGAAGTGTAGGGAGTATAATATCCACACACACCACTTGTTCATCGACTTTCGAATGGCCTATGATAGTGTAAAGAGAAACGAGCTGTACCAAGAGCTTATAGAAATGGGAATACCACCGAAGCTGATAAGTCTAATTAGGGCTACGATAAAGAAGGTGTAATGCACAGTGCGTGTTCAGGGTGACCTGACCGATAGCTTTGAAACCCACAAAGGGCTCAGACAGGGTGATTATCTTGCATGTTTCCTCTTCAATTTGGCCCTAAAGTGCTGTACAGAAATCTGGAATACAAGTTGGGGAAACTATATTCAATAAATCTTCTATGATTTTGGCCTTCCCCGATGGCTTGGATATTGTTGGAAGAACTCCTACAGATTTAGAAAACGCCTTTATCAGTCTCCAGATAGCAGCAGCTAGAGTGGATTTAGAGATCAATGAATCAAAAACCAAATACATGCATGCAGGCCCACCTTGATGTGCACGAACCATCGCATTTTAAGGCTGGAAGCTTTTCATTTGAAAGGGTAAAAGAATTTTTATATCTTGGTTCACAAGTAAATGCGGATAATGACATAAAAGCAGAGATCCATCGCAGAATTATGTCTGCAAATAAATGCTATTTTGGATTACTAAAGCATTTCAGGAACAGGGCTACCTCTCAAAACACAAAGGTTCAACTGAACAAGACCCTGGTAAGACCAGTTCTCACTTATGCCTCCGAATGCTCGACATTACTCAGTACAGAGGAAGCCCTTCTCTTAAGGTTCGAGAGGAGAATTTATGGTCCAGTTTGCATCAATGGAATCTGGAGGATAAGAACGAAAACTGAGCTAAAAAGACTCTACAAGAGCTCAGATATCGTAAATGTAATTAAAGTAGTATGGTTTCAATGGGCATGTCATTTAATTAGAATGACCCAGGATAAGATTCCTAGGATGGTCCTAGATGAAAGGATTTATGGACAAGAAGAGTGGGAAGACCACGGCTCCAATGGATCGTGAAGTGGCAGCGGGTGCCAGGTCCATCTTGGGAATCCACAATTGGAGAGCAGTGGGGGCCAATAGAGAAGATTGGCGGACCAAGCTGCGGGAGGCTTTGACTCTACAGGAGTTGTAGCGCCACGGATGATGATGAACATTAAAGTCACTAAATCCTATTTGTTTATGGTCATTGGCAAACAAATCTTGACTTATCAGGAATGTAATGTTTATCCAGGTTTAGGTGTTGTTGGTTTCCCATTCCCTCCCACTGTATATAAATTAAGTTTGGATCCTTCATAGTTGTCTGTCCTAACATCTGCTCATTTTTTAACTTTTCTTCCTAAAAAGCACTCCCAGCTGGTGATGCACTTTCTGCGACTGGAAATTGACTGACAAGGTGCCAAATACTTCATTAAATGATTCAGTTCTTTTGGACTCGCTGGAAACAGGAGTATTTGCACGAACTTTAGGTTTGAACAAAACCCTCTATTCTTTCACAATAGGTACAGTAATGGTAATTGATCAACCCAATGCATCCCCATTGGTATTGTTGAGGAAGTTTTTGAGCGTAAAGATGGTAAGCCTTAGTCTGTATCTCGTCCGGCAGATTTAAAAGGCAGCCTGTAAAACTATATCCTTTACCTTCTCAACAGAATTTCGAGTGGGATTGTAAGCTGTATATATTGTAAATAATTGGTTTTTATTCTTCTTCTTTATTTAATTTCATATATGTGTGTTTAACAATTAGATCTATTTTTGTTTATTATCAGTTTAATTTATATTTTTGATATTGTTTGGAGTCCTCATGCCTAAATGTAATTATTTTATATATGTTATAGAATTTTGGTCTAATTTTAAATCTGCTCAAAGTAAGAACCTTCAGGGGTAAGTGTGTGGTTGCATATTCAGGATAAAAAAAAATCATAGAAGTCATATCAATATCATATCACCTTCTCAGGCCATACGGACCACACCAGTTGATTGTTTTCAATTTAGGTCAACATATTTTATTTGAGTTAGGACCTTTTTTTCTTCTTAAACAAACAAGACTGTAATTTAATAAAATTAGTCCTCCAAGTTTAATATAGGAAAATTGAAATAAAGCAAAGGTAAAGACCAGTTATCAATGGTCATTGATTCAGAGGACAGTGCAAGAGGTCTAGGGAAGGTTTCATTCTACGAGAGCCAGTATGTTTATCTACCAGAGATGAGCCTGAATTTCTTAAATTTTTCTTTGTTTAAACCGAGAAGGAATTATCAAAATTCATCATTAATTTAGTTTTGTATTTTTTATAATACAGTAGTATACAGTCCATTTTTTAAATTTAGTACCAGTAGGCTCTCAATCTCTATCTATCAGGACTTTCAGTATGTTCATTAGTAGGCAACCCTAAACAATATTACAAATTTTCAAAACCTTCAAAATTATGTCCCAAAATCTGTCTAATTTGATTGAATTAATAAGAAAAATAAAGGTTTAGTACTTAAACGATTTTTGTTTTCTGCTTTAGCCATGGAGTTCAATGAAATTAAAAAGACGATTCTTTAACAGGGAAAGGAACAGAGAATGAATCAAGAATGCGAAGATTCAGGTCTTAGAACACTAAAGGGGAACTATAAGATTAGAGAGTGACCACTGGATATGTCTAGTAACAAGTAGGAAACCACCAATAAAGATGAGTAAGAAGGAAGTGAAGTGATTTGTGCAATGCATTGGGTTTAAAATGATTTGAGTTATTAAGAAAAAAAGAGTCGCTAATATTTTTACTACAAAGGGATCAAAAATAGCTTCTGATTTGATGAAGAAAATGTCTCAACAAGGAGGGTAGTTATGTAGAAAATGGCGCTTTTTTGGTAAAACGTTAACATATGTTAATTTTTTAACCAAGATTTTGTTATATAACTCTTGTAGTAATCATATGATAATGAAAATGCAAATATAATGCTCAAAGAATTTAAATGACTGCTAATAATGAAATTCCCAATCATTCCAATGAATACAGCACAAGTACTTCTCATAAAAGAGAGTAGATCATATCACCACCAAGACTCCCAAACAAGAGTATGCAGATCTTGGCTTGTTCCAAAATTTTTTAAAATGATTATTTTCATTTATAGTTTCTATAATTAACCTAAAAGTAAATATTAATATTGTTTTTTTAAATTAAAACATTTTTAATTTCTTTCATTAACCTAAAAGTAAATATTAATATTGTTTATTTTTTCATAAAACAATTTTCAAAAAATTATAATAAACAAAAAATTATTTATCTAAATTCTTGTAACTAACTATATTACTGAACGAAGCAAGATCAACTAATTTTATTTCAACATTTAGGAATACTAAGATGAACCATTCAATATCAATATATCAGTAGTAACTATACTATGGTAGATACTTCAGGTTAAATGTATAAAATCTTTGAATTTGTCAGTTTTACGCATGATTTAAAATATTAAGAAAATAATGCATTATTTTACATTTCCCGTTGAGTTAATTATCTTCATGTTCTTCAATCTTTATGTTCTTCTTTTCAATATTATGACTAACCTCTTACTCAATTAATGAAGTCAAACATTCTTCAGGTTGTGCAATAATAATCAAAGAAAAAAAGTAAAAATGCATAACACTGATATTGTAGTGTTTACAATTATTGCTTCTACATCTTAAGAATTTTTTTATTTAGGTTGACATGATGAAAATACTGATGTCCTGAATCAGATATGTAAGACTTACAAATAAAGCTAATAACAAAAATAAAAAAATAAAATAAATAATAGTAAAAAAAAAGTGCAAAAATCTATTGCTTTTAAATAATAGAAAAAAAAAAAAAAAATACTGACCCCGGGGATTTACGAGCAGCAGCATCTTTAAGACTTGTATTAGGCTGCTTCTGGATTGTTAATTCCTGTCCTTCAAAAGTACTTAAGTATTGAATTTGCTGTGGTGATGGTACAGGCATTAAATTGGGTTCTTTCGAATTGTTTGAAGTCTGCTTTTGCTGACCAATAGACTGAACAGGCCGACAATAAATAGAATCAACTAAGGGAAAAAAAATTACAAATTAATCACTATCCAATCAAATTTGGCAAAAAAATGATACTACAAGAATAAAATATTTTTTAAGCATGAAACAAAAAGCTATTACAAAAGGGACTCCATTAACCAAGGTTGAAGAGAAACTAGACTTGGATAATGGGAACCTTAGTTAATTGGAATCCAGGTAAAATACAATGCTAAGGGGAGAATGTAGACATTTCCAGAACATTTTTATATCACAGTAAACTTGAGTAAGGTGGAAAAGCATAAGTTGAAAAACAAAATGATTAATGTCGATAATCCTATCTCTAGGATTATCAAGTATTATTTTTTGAATTAAAAGAGTTAAATTAACTATTATAATTGTTTTTAGATATTTCAAGAGAAAAAAAATCTAAATTGTTGAAGGAGTTAGCAGCTTTCACATTTTTTATATTTTGTAGATAAGAATCAAAACTAAACATAATTAAATGAGGCTCATATATACATCACTTTCAGAAATACAAATATAAATAAGATTTCTGACCTTAAAGTTTTTTTTTTTTCCGTAACAGGAAAATATCCTATTATGGGAAGTCTATATTTCAGAATGGATTGATTCCAGAAGAGAATAATTATTAATTGGCCACCAAAGTAATAGTTACAAACATAAAATTCTTTAAAACGTAAGTTCCATGCACACAAAATAATTTATCTGATTTTCAATAACAAATTAATGTAAAAAAACAAAACAAAAAAAAACATGCAATCATACTTTCAAATTAAAGGGACAACATGGTCCAAGATTTGAGCATAAGTAGCATATTTTTAAAAAGAATAAAAGCAGGGGAAAAAAGGTTTATTCAATTAGCATAATTCTGACCTTTGTATTTTGCACAAAAAATTAAAAAAACAAATCTAATACTTCTTACAAGAAAGTTGACAAAAGCATTAAACATATCTATTAATAATATAAATTGAAGCTGATAGAGGAGTGGTACAGAAATAATGATATCACCAATAAAAATACAGGACACTAAAGTAAATTTAACTGAAAGTATAAAATCAGTTAATATGAAATAGTAATACACCAACGCGTTAAAGTTGTGGGTTAGGAGCAGAGAATGGCCACCTTGGACCACAATCTTAAAGAGAGCAATTGGACCTCCAAGACTGAATGCTTTAGAGTGAAAAATAGCTCCCTGTAATAATATGCACTTAAACAAATTTTTCATGCATTTCTATCTATATTGTTATTCGGGGATACAATTTATAGAACTATGGCTTTTATAGATAATATAACTAAATATTAACTTTTTTATGAAGAAATAAACAACGTAATTATTTTATTTTAATAAAAATTTTGTAAAAAAATATATTGTAATATCATTACATATATATACATATGAATGATCAATATATAAATTTATAAGAATACATAAAATAATTGAAAAGCTACAAAAGTTGGCTACCAAGACTGAATAAATGCTACGGAAAATAGTTTTACGACGATCCAACCTATTAAATATTCAATTGTACTCCTGAGAAGGAAAACTACGTTGACTGAATAATCCATATCTCCCATAATACCCCAACTACAGGAGTTGGTACTACAATTTCCGTTGAATAAGTCAGATAGATCCAGAGAAAAGAAGGTTTGGGAATAGTTCATACAAAGAAAGACTTTTCATGAGTCTAGTCGGATTTCAATGATCTTAATTCCCTCTTAACTAACTGAAATTTCAAATATTATAAAGTAGGAACTAGAACTTCCCAAGAATATGATCAAATTGTTATAAGATCTATCAACCAAATCAGTCCGCCACTATCAGTCAGAGAGAGCTGGACTGCTTCCATACTTCACTGTCTAAGGAGTCCAACTCCCTCCCCACTGCTACAGCAGGTCGCTATAGTGAAAGAGCGAATAAACTCATTGGTCATAAAAATTTATAATTTTAAAACCAAATCATAAGGGTAATGTAAAATAAATAAACATATTTTTAGAAATGAATACACTGAAAATATAAATAACAAAGCAAATTCCACCAGTGCAAACAGCTTTGTTGAGAGAATTGCCAGTCCCAAGTGTGGGTCAAAGAGGAGGGCTGAGGTGAGTCTCTGGGTATGAAGGAAATAGGACAGAGTGCAAAAATTATAGAGGAATTTCAATGGTAAATACTCTATACAAAACATTATCAATCGCAATCAGCAGAAGATAACCAAAGTGAGCGGAAATGGCTCTGGGTGGTTATCACTGTGGGTTTAGACTGGGTAGGTCAACTACGGACCAGATTTTTCAGTAAGGCAAATACTGGAGAAAGCCTATGAATATGATGTTACATTACATCATTTGTTTGTGGACTTGAAAGAAGCATATGAATCTGTTAAAACGGAAAAATGTACGAGGGACTGGAGAAACTAGGAACTCCAAAGAAATTAATAAGGCTGACACTGGAAAATACATCAAGTAGGGTGCTTTTCAATGGTAACATCGCACAAAAATTTAAAATTGGAAAGTGTCTTAGACACGAAGAACCTCTATCCATGGTGCTTTTTAACCTGATTTTGGAAAATAAGGACAGATGGCAGAGGTTTAGAATCACATGACACAGCATTTAGCATATGCAAACGATGTTCTCATAACAGCATGGACAGTCCAAGGACTTTCAGTCACTTTTAAAGAATTCCTCAGGGAAGCTGAAGGACTAGATCTGGAAATAATACAGACAAAAGCATGTACTTGCGTATCTCAAGAACAGACCAAGTGAGAGGAGAGGAAATGAGGATAGGGAATTAGAGATTCAAGAGCTGTGATAAATTCAAGTACTGAGATAGCACAATCACCTGCAAGAACCAAGTAGAAAAAGATATTAAAGCCTGTATAGCTTCAGGAAATCGATGTCAGTACAGTGTACAGGAGCTGGTGAATTATATATAAAAATATATCAAGACAAAAACTGTATTCTATAAACAATTCTGAGGCTTGTTGTGACAAATGGAAGCGTGACAGGGTCCATGACTAAAGAAAGCAAAAGGATGCTCCATGTATGAGAAAGAAAAGTACTCCAAAAAATTTATGGGCCAATCAAAGTGGAGGCTCAATGGAGAATCAGGTCTAACCTAGAGCTAAAAGAGCTATAAGGTGAACATGATATTGTTAGTTATTCAACTCAACAGATAGCGATGGTTGGGGCATGTGGAAAGCATGGACCCTACGAGAATGATGAGAAAATTTCTCAATGGAAAGTCGCAAAATGGAAGTGGGGGGGGAAGAGGAAAGTCTCGGCTCTGATGGTTGGACGAAGTGGAAGGTAATCTGAAGGAGAAGGATGTAAAACGGTGGCAGTGCTTCGCTGTTAACAGGGATATGTGGAAGAAGACTTCAGCAGAGGACATGATTCTTCAACAACTGTAGAGCCCAGCAATGAATGAATGAATGAAATAATAACCCTGCATAACCATTAATAAAATGAAAAAATCAGTAATAGTATAACGCAAGATGTTATCCAAAACTGATATAATAGAAAATAAAATTTATGATAATATTAATGCTTAAATAACATTATTAAAATTGAGTCCCACTTATCTGAATCTTGATAATCTGGATGGGATCAAAAAATAACTAATTAAAATTTAGATCCCTAAAAATTTGAAGAGTTCGAGTTACTTAGTTGGCAACAATATGGAATCATTAACTATATCTGAAGTTTCAAAAACAAACTGTTTCTGAATGGAAAAAAAAAAAACACATTAATAAACTGAAGATTTTTGTGTCAAAATATTTAGTAATGATAGTTCGGGTAGTAGAAGCATGTTAAAGAAATAAATAAATACATAAAACGAAACTTAGGATGAGGTTTTGTATGTTTAGTTACAAGAATATTACTGACAGAATGACGAGCTTACGAACCAATTAGAATATCCTGTGTCTTTCGAAACGACATACATACCATTTTACAATACAATACGAATATTGTTGACGAATTCTTTCATTTTCTGAAACTTATGAAATTGGACAATGAAATTTAAAACTTAACGAAATAAGGCGATAATGACCCTGGTGGTTGATGTCTTTAAAACAAATTAAAAAAAAAAAGGAAGATTATTACTCACTTGTTCAGTGAGTTTTAAATTATGGTTCTTGTTTTAATTACTTACTGTAAATTACTTTAGCCCTGGTCAGAATTTGGCATTAACCTTATTTTTAAGTTCTTAATTTTTACATTATTAATTTAATATATTGTGTTAGATTTGTTTTATGGTGCTGTAGAATAAGTAAATTTTTAGTTTTAATTACAAAAATTAAGATCTACACATATATTGTACATAATAAAATACACATACATAATAAAATTAAGGAGAAGGAAAAGAAAATATGTAGATGTATGAGAAAAAATGTGTCGTAAGTAATGCTCAAAATAATTCAAATTATTTATTGATGCACCAATAATAAGAGAATCTTATTGAAAGCAATATATGCACTAGAAACAGCAGAACAACAAGGTATCTTTAAATTTCAATAACCAACAAGAATAACTTAAAATTGGGAAAAGAAAAAAAATTTAAATTAAAGCCTTGGAAAAAATATAAATTCCAAAATAGTTTTTACTACAAACTCTAACATTTTTAAGACAATATGGAAAATCTGAGAGCTATTTATTTGTTTCTATTTCCAACTTCTCTTTAACAAACCTTGACAACATCAAGTGCAGAATATTTTAATTAGAAAACCACTCAAGTTGGAAACCCAAAAAATAATCATAGTAAAGGCGTTGTTATGAAAATGTATGTTTGTTTTCTTGAAATGCAAACATACAAATACACACTTTGTGTCAGAATAATTTTATTATAAAGCTTGTTGTACTATTTGTTTTTATTCACAGATCACTAGCTCGCTTGTCTATTAATTTTTTTAAATATGTGACACAAAATATATGCCATTTTGATCAATAATGATTGCTGTTTATATTAATTATATAATTGAATCTACCATCAACTATTTCCAACAAAAAGCAAACAACCTTTAGGGAATAAAATTAATAAAAGGTGGTAAAATTAATAACTAAAAAGCTATTTTACAAAAAGGGTGGCAATTTACTTTAGTTATTGGATTTTTAATAAATTTATTAAAAACTCTATAATGAATAATGACTGAAACATCAGTCATACGAGAAAATAAAGTTAACATCTTTTATATTTAACATTAGTTCTTGAAGTTGTGCTCTTTAAGGAATGAAATATTAATAAAAACAACAAAAAGTCCAAATTTCATCACTAATTTTAATGTTAACATTCACTCTGATACCATAAAATGGAATAACATTACACCTAGGGAATCAGCATTACTCCAAAACTAGAATTATTTAAACAAAAACTCGTGGAGTACTTGAGAATAGATTGTACTTGAGAATGGCTTCTGCATGAAACTAGAAATTAGTTCTCTATGAAACAGAAAGTTTTGTCACCAGTCACAGTGTTAAGTTTTCCATTTTTATGGTAGCTAAGTTAAAATTAATTAAAATATATGATAAAATAATACATAAGTGTACGTACCAGGAGATTGCTGTGAATTCTGGGCAGAAACAGTGCTGGATGGTGAAAATTCATTGGTGGTATTTAATTTATCTTTATGCTTTGGAGACAAATGACTTGAAACAGGTGTGGGGGGATTCGAATTGGTATTCCGGGCAGGGTTTGGTGACTCCATAGTAGGACTAGGACCAGGGACTCTTGAAACCTTGTCAGCCGGAGAATTGATACCTGAACATGTTCTAGGAGAAGGGAGAGAAAGATTCGAAGTTGTGTTATTAGGAGAGCTGGGGTTAGGACTTTGAAGAGCAATCGGAACACTTGCGGAACGAGTAGCCTGCTGATAACTTGGAGGTGGCCCATTAGTTCTTTTTCTTGTTTTCTGATCTTCATAAAATTGCATTTGTAATTTATGCCACTCAGACTGGCTTGATGGAGTTTTATTAATATCTAATGTTTCAGATATTGCATTTTCTTCCACATGTGCTCCACTATTTGAACCCTCTTCATGTCCTGGCAGAGCTTCTGGAAACAGTATCTGTTGCATTTTCCGCAGAGTGGCCAGCTGCTCTTCACGGTGCTGTCGCTGCTGAGGAGTTAAATTTTCATCAGGAACTTTCACCCCTAAAATTAAAATATAATAATATAAAAATAAAAAATAAATTAATTCTATCACATGCAATAATATAAATTAGGAATAGACTAATAAAAGCATTCAAGTTGAGGATTATTTAACAAAAATAAAAAGCTTAACATATTTTAATTCGCTTATAAAGAACAGATTATTTTCCGGATTTTGGCCTAAATAGCCAATTTAATTAATTATTATAATAATATTAAAAGCTCTAATAATAAAATTGGGTGGAGTTTTTTTCATATAAAGAATAAATTTTAATCAATAATTTATTTGCCGTTTTTATTAATGACCTCATGTCATCTTTCTAACAATTTCATTATTCTGCTCTTGTAAAACATATGGGGCTTAGAAGCGAAATACGTTTTCACATCTCCCTTAGCAGCGAACAATTTCATGTCGAGGGAGTTTTGGGCGAGACCTGAATAACTGGTAGTCAAATGATGCAAGATCCTGAGAATACAATGGATATAATAAAACATCCTAGCCAAGTTACACTAACTTTTGCTGTGTGATTATTGCTGAGTGTGGAATGGCATCATGATGGAATACAGCACCTTTACGATTGACTAGTTCTGGGCAATTCTGTCACAATGGATGCCCCAATTTCCTTAGCTGCATGCAGTACATCTTCGAATCAATCATTTTTCTTTGTGGAAGCAGCTTAAAAAACGACACCATATGGAAAGCAAAATTCTTATTGAATGTAGGCCGGCCTTCAGAGATGGCATTAGGCGGCTCATCAGCAGTTGTCTATGATCTCCTGCAAACTACATTGTCGTAGATGATCCACTTTTCGTCACCTATCAATATTCATCTGAGAAATGGATCTCTTTCGTGCCAGTTCAGATTGATATTCGACTAAGCCGTTTTAAATGTCTTTGATCAGCTTCAAAACCTATTTTTAGTGTCTCCACAATTTCTCGTATCTGTAGCAACCTGTCTTGTTCAATTAGAAACTTGATATCACTCAAAACAACGACAGGTGCATCTTCGAGACTCATATCTCCAGAGTGAAACATGTCAAACCATTTTTGAGCAGTACATTCTGTTAAGGCATTGTCCATGTATACCTTGCATAACTTTTGGTGGGCCTCTGAAGTTCGTTTTCTTTTTTTAAATAAAAAAGCAAAATATGCTCAAAATGTACTTCATCACTTGACAAATTCATTACGCTGTACCACGAAACAAAACTAATGCCAATGAAACCAAACACAACAGTTTTCAAGAGCAGACTTTGACCATTCCGATAAGTATCATTATTTTCAAATAAGGCAAAGAGAACTGAAGATATTTGAAAACAATTCGCACTTCTAACAAAAACCAAACAAATTTATGGATCCACCCAATACATAGATATCTTTAAAATGGACTATGAATTTCATTGTAGCTCTAGCAATATGGTCCCGTAAATCGTGACTAATGTCCTAAGTAAGAAAGAATACTAACTACGAGTTAGCTAATAGGTGGGCATTCAAAGTATTCAAGTAATAAATTAAACCAATCAGAAAATTAAGTATAAAGTAATTCTAAGTATAAAGTATAATGTCTTTATCATCATTACATGAAATGAAAATTTATCATAAGAGAAATCACTCCAGATTTCAGATTACTTTTCTGAGATTTTAGCACTTCTTTTCTCGTTTGCTTAATGTATTTTTCCAATGTTTGGGTTCAATTTCACATTTTCCCTCATTGTGAGACCAAATACTAACAATCAGTTCCGGTTACGTAGAAGAAGTTATAGGTTCGCCCTTTCCATCTTTCTTTGTGTAGAGAGGATAATGCATTTAATATTAAAATTTCCTATTTTTTTATGATATGGTCCAACTTCCGAACAAAAAGAACCTCTGTTAAATCATTCAAGGAGCTCCTTGAATCTGAGCCAGATGAAGAACTTGATCCACATATAGAAAGCCAGGAAAACGAAGAAGACGACTACATTGATGAGGATGAAGTTGCAGAGGTACTGGAAACACTGAAACCTGGCAAGTCGGCAGGAATTGATGGAATATCTCCTGAAATGCAGACAAATATGGGTCCGAAAGGCATGGAAATATTCCAGCACCTTATAAACTTAGTGTCAAAGGAAAAAAAACAATCCTCAAAGATTGAGAAGTCACCATCATAGTCTATATATACAACAGGGAGTGCAAAACCACAGAGGAATTTCTCTCCTAAGCATTCCCTTGAAAATGTAAGTCAGAATCCTAGAAAAGAGGCTAAGAGGAACTGTTGAGTTCTTGTTAAAGGAAGAGCGGTATGGCTTCAAACTCAATGGAAGCATACAAGATCTGATATTCACCCTAAGGTAAATAATCAAAAAAGGCCATTGAAAAAGACAAAGAGGTGCTTACCTGCTTCGTGGACCTAACTAAGGCCTTTGACAGAATCAGGAATAGCGACATAGATGAAGCGTTGTGTGAGAAGGTTCTGAACTTGGGATTGAGAGAGGCCATTAGAAGCCTTCATAAAAACAACAGAAATGTGGTGAGAACATGCAACATGTTATCCAAAGATTTCTGAAATATTGGAGGAATCAGACAAGGATGTAGCCTTAGTCCACTCCTTTTTATGGTACTATTGGAAAGAGCCATAAGAAAAGCACAAGAGGAAATGAGACCGCTACATTTTGCCAATAGAAGATTGTTTCCTACCCAGTTCACTATGCTGGCCTATGCGGACGACCTGGTAGTCTTTGGCAACAGGGGCCTCCCAAATGAAAGTAATTTAAGTTTGTGACAGTTTCTGAGCTAAGCAACATTTTTGCTAAATAAATTGTATAACTACTAAATGTTTGTCGCTATTAATTTAAGATTAACTAATTTATTCTTTGTTCTTAAATTAAATGTACTTTGCACACCAAATAAATTAGAAATTTGTTTACATTAAAGAAAACATGACAGACAATTTATGATGAATTAGCATTTCTACTGTCCATTTTTTTTTTTTTTTAATTTCTTTGTAACATTTATAACTGTATTACATAAATACATCAAGTAAATTTGGACATAATTGATATAATGACATGAATACACTTGCTGAGTAACTACCCAATGGTAGCACTCTAATGATATGACTACATTAGGAGATCACGGGGCCATCTTCTTTTCAGACGCCTCGGAGGGTTATCACGAATTGAAGAGGAAGCAAGGTTAGAAACAAGAGGGTAGGGATGATTCTGAAGTTTATTATGGAAGGATAGGTATCTGGATTGGGCCAGATCTGAAACATAAGGAACATTAAGATCTTTATGGATAATTTTATTAGTGACAAAGTAAGGAGCATTGAGGATTTTACGAAGGATTTTGGATTGTAAGGATTGGATGCGAGAGGAATTTGATGGTGTAGTGGAGCCCCATAGCTCAACTCCGTAAGTCCAAATAGGTCTTATTATAGTCAAGTATATGAGTCTTTTGTAATTAATGGGAAGTTTAGAGCATTTGTCTAGTAAGTGCTGAAGTAATCGGAAACGTCGAGCGGTTTCTTGTCGTTTCAGTCTAGTATGAGGATTCCAAGTTAGTCGTTTGTCCAGGTGGAGTCCTAGGTATCGGATTTGCTCAACAGGGATAAGTGGAGTATTGTTAAAGGAAACTGTAGGACAGGAAGTCGTTGGTTTACAACAAAGGGTAAAGGTAATTTGGTGGGATTTATTGGAGTTTATTTTAATTCTCCAGTTTTGACACCATTCTTCGAGATTTATGATGTGTGATTGAAGCATTTGGGATGCAATTGCTGGGCCATTGTTTACTAATAGGATACATGTGTCATCGGCATATGTGGTGATGACAGTGTTGGGACAGGTAGGGATGTCAGCTGTATAAACTGTATAGAGGATAGGATCTAGAATACTACCTTGAGGAACACCAGCGGACTGAGAAAAAAGGGATGAATAGGCGTTACTGTCCATTTTATTTTCTAATTTAAATTAACCTTTTACATGCCATTCTTCCAGAAGTGAAACATATATTAAACAATTTTATTCCATAAAAACAAAGGTTAAAATAATTTGTTCAGTTAAGATTTTATTACTTTTAGTTCGGTAAATAAAAAGTTGAAGTTTCTGATGTTTTAGTGTCAAGAGGTGCATTGATTATTTTTGTTTATGTTAAGACCACAGCAATGAAATTTAATTTGATTTAATTGTTGAATTTAATTTGATTGTGATAGATTACTGAAAATAATGCATTGTAGAAAATCTAAATAAAAAAATTTTAAGAATCAGTTTTACTAATTTCAATTTTATTGTTCCACATATGGAACAATGGCAGGTATTGTTCCACATATGGAACAATGGCAGGTTCATGCTACAGAAACGTTGATTTGTTTCCTACCTTGATGTACAAAACTGAACAAGGAAATTCATAGAAATACTAATTGCTATTCTAAGATTTTCGAATTTTTCGTGTAATTCTTTACCGATAGAGAAAAACTCCGTTATTTTTTTAGTTTCTTAACATATATTATTTGAAATACTACGCCAAACATCCTTTGGTGTTAGTTTTCTCAGCCATTACTGTGTTTTTGTCGTTACTGCATCGCGTTTCTTACTCACATTTTATAAGAATTAGGTAATGCAGGCTTTACCGTGGAAAGATGGTCCACAGACAGGGCCGAGACTTCCATCCCTCCTAGCAGGCGTAAGGCAGGTGGACATTATATCATTTTAGCTTACCAAGGAAGGTGTGTTCATTGTGGCACTAACACGAAATATCAATGCAATGAATGCCAGAAACGCATTCATATTAATTGTTTTCCCCAATATCACGGATTGTAAATCCTATATTAGCATAAGATTTTTTTTTTTTTTAATTCCGTATTCTTACATACGCATTTTCTATTATTTTACAAATAATCATGTTTTAATAAAATATAATAATAATTTTGTATCAATATTATTAAAAACAACACTATTCTTCTATTGAATATTCTAATAAAACTATTAAGAAAAAAGTTCTTTGTTTTTCTTTGTATAACCTGAACCTGCCATTGTTCCACTTCTGGAACAAGTTGGAAAAGCGCAAACGAAATTTTTTTTTAGGAACTATCTAAACTGAATCATATTGAGACCAATATCACAGAAACAAAAAAAAAATTATACTGGAATTAGAGGGTGGCGTGTAATAGGTTGATAACAACGAGGAAGGGCTAAAGAAGAATAAAACTGAGATAATAAAGAAAAATGCTGCAAGAACCTATAAATTATCAATTCTCAACAAATCTTAAGAGTATGAGATTATGTAATATATACTTACCAGCAAGTGGTTGAGGAGGCGTGATGCCTATATCTTGATTGAGTTCCCCCAATGGCATAATAGCCTCATTTAATAAAGAATTTGTATGCGAATTCATCATATTGGGATGATTAGTAATTGGACCTTTTCCAGAATTCTGTTCAACATTGAGGTTTGTATTACAAGAATTTTGTAAAATTTGATTAGGCTGAGTAGTACCCTGAAATTATGAAATATGAACAAAAAAATAAACAAACAGCAGTTTTTGAAGTTTAAAATAATAGATCAATTAATAAAAAATCAATCATTTATCAAAATATAAATAAAAAACAAAACAAACAAACAATAAACAACCTGAATCATCAGTATAATGCTTTACATAATTAGAAATTTCAATTTTATTTACGTTTTAAACTTATATTATATATTATATAACTACTTTAGGCAAACAGATCATAAGGATTATCATAAGGATCAGATCATAAGGATACATAACTCAAAACATCAATAATCTTAAAAAATAGGCTTACTTCTAGATATTTTTTCGTTCTGGGTTGAGCACAATGATAAGAAATAATTGAAGCATACTGTCCTTGAAGAACAGCTTCAGCAGCTTTATTAGCAAGATTAGTGGAAAATACAAATATCTGACTTTGTTGCTGCATGTATTGAGCTTCCATAGTCACTGGCTGCTTATTTACTACGTTACTTGGAAGTGGTTGAACTCCCTCATGTAAAGAAGGTTCTGATGGTAGACTTATAGGAAGCACATTTTCACAAGAATCTATAGGAAAAAAAACAACACAAAAATCATTAGAATTAGTAAGTAGTAAGAATAAAAAGTTTGCAGATGCTGAACACACTGAAGTATTAGATATATACATTTAAATAGTTTAAAATATATATAAAAAAAACAGGAATATCAACCATTATCAATTGATTTCAAGGACATAATATTATCAATTATAATAGCCTTTACCACTGTATCACAAAAAACTATTTCTATTGATAATACTCTAGTTGTTAATTAAACAAAGTATGTCCACAAAGTAAGAGTACTGCTTGGCTCTCACACTGAGATTTTTTTTTCTTCAAAAGTTGCCTATACTGAGTTCTAGTGGGATTTCTCCTAAAAACAATGGGAAGCGGTAACACTTGTTAGTACCAAAACTTGCCTCATAGTGCCTGTTTCTGTGAAATATGTCAATAAGAAATCCTGACAAGTGTTAAGTACGTGCTTATTTTATGAGATCCATAGTGACTGATGATGTAAACAGGAAATATTAATAAAGGGAGTGTGTCGTTACATGAAATTTATCTGTTGGTAGCTGATTTAGAGACATGGGAGAAAATAGAGATAGGAAAATGTACCCTTAAGTATAATATAGAGATAAGTGCATTACTTACATCAATATACTCAATTAATGCTTTAGAGACACCTTTATTCAATTATCATATTGAAGGTATGTATCAGCAGTATTCATGAGATCAGGATCTTCATCTTAAGAGAGAGTAAAATTCTGTGATTTCCAAAATCCAAATCCAAGAATGTTATATAGGCTTTTTTGTTAAATCTACTTCTTGTTACTAGTTATAAGGTGCTTTTCTAAGATGGCAAGTGGGCACAGGATCACATCAATCACACTATAGATGGAAATCAGAAAGTAGATGAAGTTAACCTATCTCTAGGACCTTCCTGAGAAATTAATTATGGAAGGTATTTGCTGATGAACTGAAATTATCCATAACCTCCTTCCCTCATAAGGTACTTAACTGCCTTGGTAAGACAACTATCTCAATTGAAAAAAACCTTTTGGGGGTTTAGCTATGTCTTAAGCAAGTATAAGTCGACAATCATGATCTCATTCAAGTAATGATAATTAGGATAACCAATCCTAATTAATCTTACATTGTGTATAACTTAACATAACCTAAACATTCTGTATAATGGAGGACATGCTTGTCCATTGCATGTCAATATAATTATAAATACTCCATTACGTTTATCATCCCTTGAGATCTCATCTATAGTATAATTGTAGCGATCACCCTCAAATCTGAAATATTGGAGTCGCATTTCAGAAGTACACTAACTTCTTTATAGCACAATATGGTTTTATACTTTGATTGTAGTTCTGATTAGTTTATAATTTATCCTTTTATTCAATTTATAATTAATTGTATTCTGTTCCTTTTTTATTTCATAATTTATTTTCTTTTATACCATCTAAACTAATCAAATATAATAATGTTTTGTGAACCGCTTTGGAGTTGAACTAATCAGATTGTGACCAGCAATCTTTATTTTTGGGTTTATGATGATCCTAAAGATATACAAACACTTAATTTTGAGGGACCTACAGCTGTCACAAAACCTTTATAAGGCCAAGCATGTTGAATTATAATTCATTTTATCACAGCTGATTTACTGTTATGCAAGGCCAACTACATAATATTAAAATACTATATCCCATGAGTGTGCCCAATTAAAAAAATAATTATGATAAAATATAATTAAATAAATTCTTGTGCACTATAACAAATTTAGATTTTCCTCTAAGACCACATCTCAATGTGACTAGAGAAATTAAACCCCTAATTAGTACTATTACTTCTATTGTTATTTTTCCGAATATGATATAAGTATAAGAGTATCTTAATGATAATTATTTCCAACATTAGTGGCAATTCAAAACAATGTTGCTATAACTAATCTCAATTTTTTCAAGTTAAAATTTTAACACAATACATTAGGTGCAACCAAAATTACAGAAAAACTGGAACCTATATTAGATAAAGTGAGACCAAACCAAATATTTAGAATCTTTTGTATACATGCAAACAAATATCTTCCTATGATGCCAAAATGTTAAAAACAATAAGTAGCTGTAAAATTGAACTTGAATGAATTATTTACAGCGGGGCAGTAGATAGATAATTAAGTAGGTAAACAGATAAGTGCTGCTTAAGACTTTATTGAGGAAGGTTTAAACAGGCAAGGGACTCTAGAAAGAGGTAGCATAAATAATGAAAGATTTACTAAAATAAACAATTGTCTGTAGTAGGGTTAGTAGCTTGAGATATACCAAGGGAGGTCAGATGAATATGAAGTGAGAAAATTAAGAATTTAGGGAGGTTTTTTGGTTTAAATGGATTGAATAAGAAAGACACCTAAGTATTTTCATTGGAAAGCAGAGTAAAGTAACTTTAAGTCGGCAAACAAACAGGAGAGAGAAGAGTGCATATAAATCTCGAACAAGAACTTAATGAAACAGTTCATTAGTATCTTCAGTATCACCTCAAGCTTACGATGGTTAAATTCAGGGAAAACAATTAAAGAGAACTAGGTGCATCTTTTGCAATTTACCACATTAAATTTATAAAGAAATTTAAAGTATTACTTCAAGTATGTATTACTCACCATTCCTGAAACTTGAATCTGTATTTTCTCCATTTTCAGATTTCACTGCTTTACAGGAACTAGGATTTGAGATAATAGAAGGAACATCTTCTAAAAAGAAAAATATAAAAATAAATGTATAAAACTATAAACGTTTTTAAATGGTAGAAGATTATATTTCACATTCAAAAATTTAAAAGCAAATTTTATGGCTTGATCTGCGGTTTTTACTGCTTAAAAATCCAGGTCCTGTAATACTAAACTACGATATCTAGGTTACGAAACGACCAAATAAACCAGCTTTTAGAGCTCGATTTGACTTGAAGCACTTTATAGATTAACAAAAATCAATTATCTTATTTTTGTACACACTCTGGCATAAAGTGTGATAAATTCGATAGAGTAAAAATAAAATTTGTATGGGAAATGACTTATGACCCTCCCTGTAAATCTAATTAGATAGAATCCTCAGGCTTGTGAGATGCCTTCCGATCTAAAAATTCACAGATTTATTAATTCTTTACTTTGACTGTAAAAAACTGCCCTATTGCTTTTTTTTATATTTAGACTAATACAAAGGGAACTATATCAAATAATAATCAATACTTATAAAAAGGCCACTCTATCAAATAATGATTATGTAATTCCCAAGAATTATTGATACTTACTATCAGGCTGTTGTGCTGATGGAGATTTGTCATCAAGAGGAGAGTTATTCGAACTAATATTTTCAGGTATTTCCGTTTCTTCAGGTTCTTCCTTAACATCAGGTGGTTTTTCTGTAGTTTCTTTCTTTTGTTCAGTCCTATTTTCGATCATATTTTTACCACCTGCACCGTTACTGTCAAATCCATTATTACCATTGCCTCCATTTTTTTTCTTTTCCCTGTTTTTTTCTTTTATCATATCAGGTGAAAAATCTATAAAAAGTAATGACTAACAAAACCAAGCAAAATGATATATATTACTTATAATAGTACTAACAATTCATGATTTACTAAGAGTCTAGACTAAAACCCATAAACAGCTGCACATTACTTTAATAACTCTCTACAGGTACTAAGGTAAGAAAATGAATCGTCAAAATTAATAACCTCCAAAATATCAAGAAATACCATTTATGAATAGATATTCTGAGATGATTAGGCAGATTTAAAATAAATATTTAATGGACAATTGAAATATCACCTGCTTATTAATAGTCTTGGCCGATTACAGATAAGAATATATTTGAAACAGGACAAGAAAAACACAATATTGTAAACTGCGTTATTATTGAAGACAAAAAAGTGAAAAAAGGAAGAGGAGAGAAAACTGCACCTGGATTTCGAAGTATGTCAAAATTATTAGAAGATGGTTAGCAAGGTAAATATAGTTCTGGGAAATAAAATGAATTTAGTAACAGCATACATAGCTAGTATCTATCTTTATCAATAATATCCCAATTAAGAACAACAGTTAAAACAATAATTTAACATAAAATATAGATTAGGATAATCTTAGTAGAGGAATATGGAAAGGTATAAAGATATATTTCCTGAAGTATTTTTTAAAATAGAAATTATAACTGATTAATATAAATGGTAAAAATTAAAAGATATACAGTTAAAAGTTATGAATGTCAAAATGTTACCATAAACATAGGTTATAACTAATAAAAACACTTTCAAGTACATTGTTCTACCAGATCCAGCATATACTATACATATTCTTTACTACATTGCTATATATTTATTTGACAAGATAGATATAAAGGGTTCAGTGCATTTTTAATGACATAAATGAATATTCCTATGACAATAAACTAACAATATTTGTTTGGTAATGCACCTAAACATAACAACAAAAGCAAATGAATATCTTAGCATTTTAAAGAGTTTAGCTAATTATAAATTTAAAGCTTGATGAAAATAAAGATCCATTACAAGTCCTGCTACCATAAAATGCCAAATAGAAATAAAATAAGAAGTATCCAATTATAACTTTATTTTCACTGCATAAAATAGCAAACAAGAAAAAATAGGTGCAAATAAAATTAAATGCATTAATAAATATAAAAACAATAGGTACCTGACATCTAGTATAGTTTTGTACAAACTTGCAGTAACTAACACTTTCCAAGCTTAAAATAAATTTGAATGCCTTCTTCAAATGTGACTGTAAACAGAGGAAAGATCTTCAAAACAGTGTGTAGGTTCCAAAGAGGTAGTTATTGAGACCCGCCAGAATAGTTGTTTAGGAATCCGAAGTTAAGACCGGAGTTTGAAGTATCTTGCTATCTTGTGATTTTAAATTAACACGGAATCAGTATTTAATCCATCCACAAATCAATATTTAACAATGTCATGCACACAATAAGTCTGGCAAGGCCATGATGCTATAAACCTTCAAATCAATAAAACATGATTATTGAAAATTGAATGTTTTTGTGGTCCACATAACTCATATGAAAATTCTGCTTATATGCTGTTAAATTCAACTCAATTAAAATTTATCTTTTAGTTTCTTTGCGCATTTTTGTAGTGAAACCACTATTTATGGAATTTTCAATAACTTAGGGACTGTTAAGGCTTAATTTATCTTCACTGTCTCCCAACGGATGTATAACACTGGAACGTCTCGTTGACCTGACGATCAATTCATTTCTTCTCATAGAAAACTCTTTTTATTATAATAATAAACCGGCGATAGTTGTTACCTGATATGTGATGGATGGTTGTAGATACAAGCAAAGCCTCTAATGAAACTACGTATACAGGTAGAATTTACAGTTATTTAAAGGTCTAGAGACTGTGTGTTCTCATATTGTCACTGAGGTAGGTAGGTATGAGTAAGGTGAGGAAGATAGTGAAGAAATTAAACGATAGTTATTAGGGATAACAATAACGATAGTTAGTTAGGGATAACGATAGTTATCGTAGGGATTATGCATACTGACGTTTTCGCAACCTGTGGCAGAGATGTGCAAACGCTACTCTAAATACTGATCTTTTTTAGTAACATAGAATTTAATTGCTACTTCATTTGATTAACTGAAGTAGTGATTAAATTCCCAATATTGATTAAATTTGAGTACTATGCAGTACTATGAAGAATTCGTCCTTCGAGTCCTCAGAAATTCGTGAGGACAGGAGTGATATGGATTCGGGGTTACCTAGTGTGGCTTCAATGACATGCAAGATTAACATTAGGGTTGAAATCATAATGGGAGAACTAAATATTCCTACAATGAAGGAGGCTATGGAGAAGAGATAGTTGGGATGTCATGTGTGCAGAATGAGCCCTGATTGTGACCCACTCACATTTATGGAGGCGAGATCAATAGCCACTGGACCTAGAGGAATTCCTAGGCTTAGCAATAATAACTATATCTTCAAGTTGGGACATTTGAGTGGAAGGACATTGAATGAAATGAAGATTTTTGCGGTAGACAGAGCTTGATTGGGATCCTGGAATGGATTACGTCAACGCTAAAAGACACAAGGAGAAAGTTGAAATAGAAGAAGTAAAGAGATTACGGGTGGATAATTCCATTATTTTAAGTAGTACTAATTTAAAATCACTATTTTATGAAAAATAGAAATATAATTGTCATGACATGGACGAGGAAATGGGTCTACATCTGAACTACAGCGGGTTTATTATGATATAGCTACAATTCTTAGGGTATCGATATGTAAATATCTAACAAATATATATATATATATATATATATATAAATGTATCGTATGAATATTTTTCAAATAGGTTTTCGACATATCGAACCATCATATTTTTAATCATTGCTTAGGATAGGAATGTAAATTTGAAGCAATAATATTGTATCGATGGTTATCGATAAATATAAATATAGATATTATGGGCCTCGATATTTTTTTCCATTAAAGAAGGGGTACAAGATAAACATTGAAATGAGGCAAACAAGTCTCAATTAAGGGTATGAAATATTTATTAAAAGGAAAACCTAGCGGTTGAGCATGATCTCGGGCAAATCATCTGCTTGTACAACTGTTGAACAAGAAAGAGCGCATCCTTACAAAATACTGAACCTAAAACCCTCCAAGGATTTTAGTGGTACAGATTTTAAAAAAAGGTTATGATAGTCCAATTTTATATGATGTATTATATCAAATTTTATTTATTATATCAAAAGATATATGATGGGGAATATTTTATTCATTGGATTGTCCGGAAATCAATGCAGGTTTGTGGTTTTAAAATAAGTTAAAAAAATGGTATGAAATTATTTTCATTAATGAAAATACGCTTAATGAATCTCAATATATTTATGCCTTTTCCATTCTCTCAAAATATTGGGTTGTCCGGAAAATAATGCAGGATTTTGAGTTTTCTTTAAATTACTCCTCTACATAACAAATTGTTTGTGTTTACTGGATTATTCATTTGGATAAATCTCAAAACTTATAAATCCGTTTCCAAACAGTAATGTTTGTTTATCTCTGTAGCATTTAGCTGCTTAGAAATAATTTAGTCTTTACTAAGATGTCAACGCTTGATTTTCGTATAAATTTGTTTTACGACTTTTGGCCGTAATGATGCCCAGAGGGCCATAAACATCAATCAAGTCTGGGGGCGAGACCAGCGTTAATGAGTGCACTGTTGAACGTTGGTTCAAAATATTTCGGGAGGGAGACTTTAGCCTTGAAGACAAAGGTTGTGGAAGGACTTCCTCTCTTGATGACGATGTTCTGCGGGATTTAATGGAAGAAAATCCAAGAACAATTGTTTGAGAATTTGCAGAGACAATTAACCATAGCAAATCAACCGCCGATGACCACCTCAAGGCGATTGGAAAGGTAAAAAATCTTGTAAGTCGAGTTCTACACACAATAAACAACCGCAAAAAAAAAAAAAACTCAGCATTATGAAGTTTGTGTTACACCTCTTTGCCGAAACAAAAACGACCCTTTTCTCTTTAGGATTGTTACTAGTGATGAAAGTGGATACTTTGCGATAACAGTAGACGTTCTCTAACAGTGGCTCGACAAAGTAGAAGCAGCAGAACATTTTCCAAAGCCCCCATCTCATCAAAAGAAGGTGATGGTTACTGTTTGATAGACTTCATTTGGTTTGATAATTATAGCTTCTCAAATGTTGGAGAAACCATCAATTATGAATCGTATTGAAACTAAATTAATGCAATACATCAGAAATTCGCAATAATGAAGCCATATTTAGTTAATCGAAGCCCATGAATTTTATTGCATGGCAAATGTCTCACGCGTGATGTCACAAAATTGTTGGAGTTTGGATATGAAACTCTGCCACATTCGCCTTACTGTCCAGACCTTTCACCTACGGATTATAATATTTTTAGACACCTGGATCACTGCTTACGAGAAAAAAAATCAATGGACAAAGGGAATGAAACATGCTTTTTTGGATCAATTCTAAAGATGAGAAATTCTATTCCGATGGAATTGAAAAGTTGCGACTACGTTTGAATAGTAGTGGAGACTATTTTGATTAAATAAAACAGTTGTAAATCTTTCTTTTTTCTTTTTAAACCAAAATCCTTTATTATTTTCCGGACAACCCAACAGAATGTTGAATTGTTATTTTTAAAAAAATCTGAAAATGTATTTTCAAATGAATTTCGATCAATAAGATTAAAACTTTTTTAACAGTGGTTCAGCGGTTTAAAAAATTAGTTGGTTGGCGAAAGATTTATTTAGCTGGGTGGAAAAGGTTTGCTTCTGTTTGTTTCGGTAAGGAAGTGTAAAGAAAATTCTATTACGAACATTTTTTTGGCGGTCGTAATACACCAGGAAACCAAGTTTTAACCATTTTTACCTTACTAATTGCGTTGAGGTAGTCAGCGATGGTCGATTTTTTAATTGAGAGTTTCGCTGCAAGTTTTGGGAACTAAGCTCGCAGAACATCGGCATCAACAGAAAAAGTTCTCCCACTGCCATCTTTGTCGTCAAGGTAGAAGTCTCCTTTTTGGTATTTTTTATACCATTCTTGAACGAGGTACTCATTTACATTACACTTCAGTGCCGGCCTTAGACATTCGGGGCCAGCGGGCAATGACGCTATCTTCTATCCCCCTAAAAAAATTAAATTAATTTCTTAAGCTGTTTTATATTAGGAAATATCATCGAGCGCCTCTGAAGATCCGCCGACGACCCCAACGACGATCCTCCAGTTCGGAGAACTGCGGCAAAGGGTGCGGCCCCGGTTGCCCCACTCTAAGGCTGGCACTGCTGCACTCAGTACATTTCATTAATATTGGGCTATTTGGATCACATTTCCATCAAGTTATGCAAAAATCATGCTTTGACATATTAGTAATGATCGAATTATTTTGAAGTAGTGAAACGTTACAGAATATAACAACATTATTTGGTTGGGATGTACAATATTGGGGGACCCGGTACATGCTTTATGACCGGAGCTCTTTTCTTGTGAAATGAAAATTTTGATGTAAGAATATCTGTGAATGACACTACTTGTTACTGTGTTGATTTTCTTCTATTGTATCATCTGCCTGAAGGGGCATTTAATTTTAGTGAATTAGTGAAGTATAATAATTGTAACATATAATATGATAAGGAGCCAGCCTCGTGCCTGTCGATTTGTTGCCTCTCTCCCAATGCCGCCGCTGTCCTCTGGCTCGTCCAAGACGCCTCGTTTCCGTCTCGTCTCGTCCGGATTGTTGCAACCGGTGTCCAGCTTATGTGTTGCCGAAGGGCTGTAATTCTCTCATTTAGCCGTGAGCTGCTTCAAGTCGGCAGAGCCAGTGAGCGGGGAGCTGTGTGCTTATTCAAACACCTGGACTTTAGACGTAGGGTCTCCGTGTTATTTATAGAAGCGAATAATAAATACATGGACTATAATAATGAATAATATATATATATATATATACAAAAATAGGATGTAAATCCAAGAGAGAGGATGATTAATGAGGGTTGACACCGGTACAAAAGAATAATCCTCAAACGTAAAAAGTTTGTTATACAGAGGATTAATTATGAGGGTTATAACTCGAAAACGGTGCATCGCAGGGGAAAATTTTCGTATAGAAAATTAAAGTTTAGAAAACCCTCCCGACAACTTTTAATATATAGGTATTAAAAGAATTCTAAACTGCGAGATAAATGCTCGAAAAAAGATGACATTAACGAAAAAAATAATTTTGCCTCACATTTTT